CCAATCCCCCAATCGGCCCTACCCTGAGCGTGACTGAGGGTGGCATCGCAACCTCCTGATCCGCCCTGCTCTGTGCATGACGGGGCGGCGCCCCAACTCCCCAATCGGCCCTGCTCTGAGCCTGACCAGGGGCTGCACTTAGGGATTGGGCCTGCCCTCTGCCACCCGGGAGCAGGCCTAAGCCAGCAGGTCGTTATCTCCCGAGGGGTCCCAGACTGCGAGAGGGCACAGGCCGGGCTGGGGGACCCCCCTCCCCACCCCCTCGAGTGCACAAATTTTTGTGCACCGGGCCTCTAGTTAATTATAATCCTATATAATAAATGCCCAGCAACCATAATGGCAGAACAACCACTCAACCAGTCACTATGTGGTGCACTGACCACCTCTTAGCCCCTTTCCCCGGCCAGTAGGCTCCGATCGCCGATGGCAAACTGGGAACCAGGGTGGGTGGCAGCAGGGGCCTACACTGGTGAGTGGGTAGAATGGGCCTACCTCTTGGTCCCTCCCCCTGGCCCGCAGGTTCTGATTGCTGATGGCAAACGGGGAACCAGAGTGGGTGGCGGGGGATGTGGGCAGCGCCAGGCCAAGGCCCCCGCCCCGCCAGTCACCCCACACACAGAGGGCAACCCACAGCAGGGGTGGGGCCAGAAAGCGGGTGGGAACAGCTGACCTCTCGGTCCCTCCCCCCCGGCCAGCAGGCTCCCATTGCCCTATGTCGAACAGGGAACCGGGGTGGGTGGCAGTGGGGGGGGGGGCCAGCTGCTGGCAGCCGGGGAAGATAGCCCTGATCGCAGGCTAGGCCTAGGGACCATACCTGTGCACGATTTCGTGCGCCGGGCCTCTAGTTAGATTATAATTGGATTAGATGAGCTGAGTCCGCCTTCAACCCAGCCTTAGAAAGAGCTTCCTGCTTAGCCAGTGATAATAATCTTGCTTGTAGGATTAAAGAAGGACCACACATTCCTCTACGTCTAGAACAGGGCTGCTCCTATGCAGGAGTAGGAAAGGTCGTTTTCCTCCCAGGAGGCCTTTTCTGCTAATAGGCATTTTGTTCTTTAAAAGTGAAACTCTAAGGATCCCCGGAAGGTTTGTGTACCTGCCCAGAAACAGGAATTTCCTGCAAACGAAGGCTCTCCTAATCCTTTGGTAAATTGTATTCTGGGTCCCCATGCTCTACACAAAATTGAAATATGTTCTCATCTCCGGAGCTATACCTGCCGTGAACAGTGGTTTCCTCCTATGCAACCAGATTGTGCCTGAGTAAAACGAAATCACTCGCTAGCATCACAATGATGTTACCTCCAGCTTTTGTTCCTGTGACACACCATGAACTCAGCCCACCTAATGGCTTCCCACCTTTTCTTGCTATGATGCAAATTATATTTTTACCACATAGTTTTGCTTTTTATAACGTTCTTCTCCCTGTCTCCCTTCTGGATTACCAGCTTTGAGAAGTTGCGTGACTCTTACCTTCACTTCCATTTCCCACAGTGGCTCTTTTCATGTGACCTTGATCCCCCACCCGCAGCCCACCACCTGGCCTGGTCATCAGCCAGGCTCAGATCATCTGCCATCAAAATCACTTTGTACTAAGAAATACAGACAGATCAGACAATGCCAGAGGGAAAGGGCAGTCTTCATTTGTTATTGTTCTGTTTTGTTTTTAAACCAGTATACGCTAACAGCATTCTTATTTACTAAACTACTTGTAAACCATGGGAAAGAAGTGAAGAAATTTTGCAAATTCTCCTCCTTACACCCTCCCCCGACCCCCAAAACTTTGCCTTTATCAGAACGAAACCCCAATGTTAACTGGAATGAGCCACTGGCTGGCTGGGCAGTGTCCCTGGCTGCAAGGTGAATGTTGCTTCCAAGCTCTTTGATGTTGGAGTTGGGTTGACAGCGTGGTGAAGGCTGCCATGCCCAGTGGCTGAAGCAGCTGAATGGGCGATGCGATGGGGTGGAGTGAGGTAGAGAAGGACACTGAGCAGAGTGGGAATAGACCCACCCATGCTGCAGCTCTGCCTTGGCTAATGGTGTGACCTTGCACAAGTCACTTTCCTTCTCTGGCTCTAGTTTTCTGATCTGGGAAATGAGTTAGACCAGAGAATCTCCCAAGTCTCTTTCACCTGTGAGAACCTGGGATTCTGTAAGAAACATAATTTCCATGCATAGGTATACACAGCATGATTAGATCAGCTGATATTTTTCAAGACCAATGGTAACCCTCAGCTTTGGACGTTAGCCACATCAACATGTAAATGTCCTTCTCAGTTGCTTTCAAATTAAATCATTTCAGTCTACCTGGATTTGACTCTCCCTGCAGGGCAGGGAAAAAACTAGGTGAACCCTCACCGGGTCTGTGATTGACGGACAAGGTAAGGAATGTGGTAGTTCCTGGGATGAAGTGCCTCTGGTTCTTTGTGTTTCTAGGCCCCATCGCTGCATCCGAAGCTGCCAGTCGTATTCAACCTTTAGCTCTGAGAATTTCTCTGTGTCCGATGGCGAGGAGGGAAATACCAGTGACCACTCAAACAGTCCTGATGAGTTTGCTGATAAACTTGAAGGCCGCCTGGCAGAGAGGCTCGATGACCTGCTGTCCCAGACGCCGGAGATTCCCATCGAGATCTCCTCGCATTCAGATGGGCTCTCTGACAAGGAGTGTGCCGTGCGCCGCGTGAAGACGCAGATGTCTCTGGGCAAGCTGTGTGTGGAGCAGCGTGGCTACGAGGTGCGGGCCTCTCCTTTCTTCTCCTCTCGGCACTGTTCCCTTCCTGTAGCTCTTTTGAGTTATGATGTGCTCAGAGTCCTGAGGTCCTTTACAATGATCATTGAGTATATGAGATACAACAACTGCCTCCAAGAAGTAAGTAAAAGTACACAGAGCAACAGAGCTCCTAAAAATGAGGGTAGAGCTCCCAAATGAGGCACAAACATTGAACGGCTCAGGAACCCTCCCTTCCAAGATTGAACTCCAACATCACCTCCTCCTGGCCTCATCGCCCAATCTGGTGAAGGGTATGAACGTCCCTCTTCCCTGTCCCCACTGTCCCCTAATGAGGTTATCATAGCACAGGTACCACTTTAGTTCATGGTCAGTACTGCCTTTCGAGAGGCAGGATAGCACAGGGGTTGAAATTGTGTCCCCTGGAATCTGACTGCCCAGATCAAACCTCAGCCTTTCCACTTACTTACTGTGTGCTGTTGGGCAAGTCACTTAAATTCTCCATGGGTCAGTTTTCTTATCTGTAAAATGGGTATGGTAACAGCATCTATCTCATGGGGCTGTTGTAAGGATTAAATGGATTAATAATGGGCTCTCTGACAAGGAGTGTGCCGTGCCTGGAACATAGTAGACGCTGTACAGTGTGGTTGTGGTGGTACTGTTATCATGGTCATAATCGTTGTCATGAACATCATCTTTACATGTCTTCTTTTTCCGTAAGCCTCACCAGGACAGGACCTAGTCTCATCTTTGTAGCCCAAAGCCTGTCATGTGGGAGGTGTTCCATATATGTTTACTGAGTGGTTGCAAACATGAACTAAGGTTTTATTTTGTCTTGACTTTGCAGAATCCTATGCAGTTTGAAGAATCGGACTGTGACTCTTCAGATGGGGAGTGTTCTGATGCCACAGTGAGGACCAATAAACACTACAGCTCTGCTACTTGGTAATGAGAGGACACCCATCCTGAAGATGACGTGACAATACTGATGTTTCAGATCCGCCCCACCCCGATTCCTCCCGCTCTCCCCCTGCCTTTTTGTCTGGGAAGAGAGCTGCCCCATCTTTCTTACCCCTAGAAATAAGCTGCAATAACAGGAACATGAGACTTCGCAAATCTCTGGAAAAAAAATATCCAAATGAAACTAAGTCTCACTGAACATTTCAATCAAGAATGGCAGGGATCTATTTTATTGAATATTCTAGCTACTGTAACATTGATATTTATTTTTGTTTGACATTTTAACACTTTGTACTGTAAAGATTGAACTATATATGATAGAGAGAGAGACAATAATTTCTTGCAAAAAAAAAGAGAGGAAGAAAGAAGTGGAATTTAGAAGCAACATTCTTGGTAATTTGTGGGGCCAAGAGGTATTATTATTGCTACTTGAACAGGGGACCAGTTCTTTTGACCATAAGTGACTGAAGAAGAGCCAGAGCAAGACATGTTGAGCATTTTAGAAAACAAAGGACAGCAAAAGAAAAGCAATTCCGGGTAACTTGTGAATAGACCACATTTAAGTTCAACCAGCTTATCCTTTGGGTGATGAAAATTATCTAGAAAAGTTTGGTAACCAGATACTTGCACCCAAGGTCTTTGAGGGCATGTGCTTCCTCTAGGAGGAAAAAAAAAACTATATGTGAAAACTGGTTTCATTTTTATTTATTTTAAGCAGCATTTAGTTGTGAGACTTATGGATAGAGTCGAATCTTCCTTGACAAATATTTACCTTTTAAATGCTGTCATTGCCATTACCTTGACAAATGTGTGACCTTGACCAACGTGCCATTTCCTCATAGCCATTTCCTTTCCACCTGGTGACCACTTCCTTTAGGAAAAAGGGGAGGGCTGAGAAGAAGAGAAGGATAAGAGAAAAAGGAAACTGACCACAGTGTTAGAAAAGCAAACGTGGAATTTGTAAAAGTACGTTGTCAGAACCTCTCAGTTCCGCTCGTCCAGAAGGTGGAGCTAGCCCTCTGTGGAACCAGGTTGCTTGTCTACTAGAGTCATATTGATTCAAACAGGAGAACAGACTTTGAAGGCAGCTAGGGTGTGTGTGAGTCTGTCCAATGTCCAATCACAAACCATTCCCTTGTTTTTACTTATTAACTCATTCTATCCTGTAAGCTTTAGTGACTGGCTTCCACTATCAGAATAAAGGCAAAATAAGCAAGTTGCAAAAGACACTCCCCACCACAATATCCCAGCATAATAGCATTTTTGTTCAAAGCTGTTTGTGAAAGGTATTTTACTTTTCTTCGGATCAACGCAATTTTAAATCATTGGATTTGGGAATTTGTGCAAAGAACAACTGATGCTGAGCAGCAATTGGGAAGATTTTGCCTTTTCCAAAGCATGAGGTCCTTCCTATCCAGGGTCATGGGCTCTGAAAAGCATGCCAAGGTACATCATGGTACCTCAGCTGTAAGCCAATTTTTATGTAGAATTTTATATAAAAACAGATATCGGCCTCGTTCCTGTCTCTGTCTCCAAGATAGATTACTGTCAAACAAAGTCTCTAGGCTCAGAATCTGAAGGCGATGGCTAGAGTCTTAGACACGGCATCGTGTTGGACATTAGGAAAGACTTACACATATTGGCATTAAACCATTCCAGTGCAGGTGGAAACGTTGCCCTCCGCTGGGTTTCACCGATTGCATCAGCCAAAAAGGAAAGGCAGGAGGGAATTGAGAGCAGTTCCTTTTGCTTGTCTGATCCCTCATTTGTTTACAATTTATGTTGAGGTATTAATTTAAAATTTACTGTCTTTTAATTTATAGCTCTTAAGTAAGATGAAGGAAAATGTCTAACTTATACAGAGAACAGTATTGTTTGCATTAAATTATTCCATTTTGTATACATTCTGTAGCTGGACTACATGAAAGATCTTAAGTTATGGCATTATTATCATTGTTATTTTATTTTATAATAATTATTGTCATTCTCATTTTCTGTCGATCAGAAGGTGTGGTTTACAGTGTAGCACAATGATTGTGTTTATCGCTAACCATGAATTATCGTGAATTTTTATGATTTTTATGAAGGAATGAAAATGAGACTGCCACTTGGGAGCTCTCCAGTATTCATCTTAGGTGCATTCCCTCATTTTCTGTGTGCAACAATCATCTGAGGATGTGTGCTCTGCCCTGGAGCCCAGTGGGCACATGGTGACTTTGACTTGATCGTGGAAGCTCCTGGGTGGGCAGATAACTGAGTGGATGGACAAATAGTTCAAAGGCTGTAATCTTTCTCAAGTTTCTTAAATAAAATCATGAGACTACACTAGAAGCAAAAAGAGAATTATTTAATTCCCTAAGAGGCACAGACATAGAGAATTTCTGCATGGGGCCCATGGGTTAGAGAGTTCCAAGAACTGGTAGCATAGTTTGTCATTTTGTTCCTGCAAGATCCCACAAAACCAACCTGCTTTCTCCTAGTTGGGAGTAGCAGAAAAACTAATATATATATTATGACATAAAATACCTAACTGTGATGTCATCCTATAACAAGACTAAAGAAATTCTAGAAAGGCTTGGTCACTTAGCAGCTCTTAGGGCTGGAAAAGTACTACCTTGAAGAGCCCTATTTTGCATCCTCTGACTTCAGACCACACTATACTATGAATCTCTCTGGGTCATTACTTCTGGGAAAAGATAAGCTACAACTCTGTGTCCGCTTTCTGTCCAACATAAAACACTGACACTTCAGCTGGTCTGGTTCTTGCCCACCTGTGGTGGCAAAAGAGAAACATGATGGTCAATGTCTGTCTTATATCTCCCAGTCACGATCTTCCTAGGAAACCCCCACCTGACACCTCATATTCTTTTTTAAAAAAATATATATATATTATTGATTTTTTTACAGAGAGGAAGGGAGAGGGATAGAAAG